TCCCAGTCAGCGGTGGCAGCAGCAGCAGGTGGTCAGCCCTTGGGGTGTTTGTGGCTCACTCAGGCCCCCTGGCCCCAATAACTCAGGCCCCCTGGCCCTGGCCCTGGCCCCACTAGGGCAAATTAGACTCCCCCCAGTCTCAGCAGTGGTCTTTTCCAACCTTTCACCCCCCTTTCGGTCCTGCACAACTTCAGGCCAGCGGTCTCCAGCAATGGTCCCCTCTGGACTTACTTGCACCCCACATCAGGTCCCCAAACTTAGCCCAACTCTGGAAGCCTCCCTTGGTCCCCCACACTCAGCCTTTCCCCAGGCCTCAGCCTTACACACAGCCCATCCTGGGGCTCTGGATCCCTCATTCATTGGGTCCCCAAGAAGCTCCTCCACCCCTTTAGTTCCTTCCCAAACCTCCAAACTGCTGCAGGCTGCACTCTCCTTGCTGGCTTCCAGAGCTATCGCAATCCTGCTCAGTAAATATCTCCTCAGCAGCTCCCCATATTCTTACTTACTCCGGGCCTCGGTTTATACACAGTCTAATTTCCACCCTATTCCTGGATCAGATGACTCCACAAATCAGCTGGCCACACCAGCAGGCTGCTTCTCCGGCAAGGTCCCTAATTGCCTTCCTACTGCACCTTCAGCCCACCTCAGCCATAGCCTGTCTGCTCTTAAAGTAGCAGGAACTCCAAGCATCCTGTTACAGTTACATATTGGGAAATGTTTTCCAACTATGAACATAGTTAAATACTGGAACAGAATGTCTAGAGAGTTTGTGAAATTTCTGTCTAATCTTTATTTAAAAACTTCCAATGACAAACAGTTGTCTAGGATGATTTAAACAGGGATGATCCTGCCTTGAGTAGGGGATTTAACTAGATGACCTGGTTCAGCTCCCTTCCACCTCCCTCCTTCCCCCACCCTTTTTTTTAAAATGATTCTATGCATTTGTCCAATTTAAAACAGACTTTCGCAAATTCTGCTAAGTATTACTCATCCAATGAAACATCTGGAAAATACACACGGCCCCTCTCCCAACCCAACAAACACAAGCAAAACCACACAGAACGGGAAGAAGGCAATCTGAATTACCCTGTTGAAAGATAATCTTCACTTGTCATGAATCATTCTGGATCCAAAGCTTAATATACCCTACATATACCAACTCTAACTATAATATCCTGAATAGATGCATTCATAACAGCAACAGAAATAATTCACTAAAAGTAAATTCACTTACCATACAGGTACGGGAATTTTCTCCTATGAATGAATCTCTTAGCACCTGAGTAAGTTTGCTTGCTCTGAATGGAGTATGAGGTTTGTTTCGGCCTAAGGCTCTGATGCACTCCTGAAAGAATAAGCAAATCAACATTTATTCAGCTCGTGACCAAGACAAAAAAAAACCCTATTTTGACAGACATGTAAGTTATATACAGGTGTTATGAGCATTGAGTATGTTGCTCTTCTATAAGCCGCTAGGAATCACAACGCTTAACAGATGGTGCCTCAAGCCCCAAAGAAATCCAATTATAGCAGTTGGTCATACCTAGAAAGTATCATCTTAAGAACTCTCACGGTGACACAGAACAGAAGCTAAGGAGTGCAGCATGGTGCATTCTGTCTAATTCTTAAAATGGTTGAGGCATTTCTAGTAAGACTGTTCCAGGAAAAAACAGACTTGTTAAGGGGAAAGAACAACAGATTTTTCTACAAATCAGTGTTACAATGCATTTAAGGTCCCCTCTACAGGTTGCATTTATGCCACAATGAATATGTTAATTATGGCATAAATGAGAAGGGTGCCCATGCACCCAATTTAAGGTGCCATTAAATGGCAAACCAACCATAAAATTGTTCTACACGTATAATATGGCTGAGTTGTATGGCATCATAAACTGAAAGTGTGTATGAGCCTACAATCAGTGTGGTTGGGCTGACAATTGGCTGATTGTCAGCTTGGGCCAGGGACCACACTAGGGTCTGGAACTGGCCCCAAGGAGGTCCCTGCAAGGCCAACAATCAGCTGAATAAATTATATACACTGCAGTTTGAACCACTATATACAATGTACATCCACCTGCAGTTTGGGTCAAGAACTTTAACACATTAATTAGAATCTATTTCAGCTGACTGCCAGCCCCAACAGAGACCACACTGGGGTCATTTCCGGACCCTGGTGCAGTCCCTGGCCAAACTGATGGTTGGCCACAATCCTAGACCTGTGGGCATCCAGCTTTCAAATTGCCAATGCAAGTTATGATCCTGGGCTCCATCTGCACTGACAAGCAGGACGTGATTGGAATCTAATTCCCAATCCCAAAATTGAGCCTCTTACCATGCATGTGGAGCATGGCAGGAGCCACAATTGTTGGGATCAGGGATTAGATCTCATGGTGCATTTACATGAATGTCCACCAGGGACCTAAGTGCAAGTAGTCCAGGGGTAGGCAAAATGTGGCCCGCCAGGACATTCTATCCGGCCCGCAGGGCCCCTAAAAAATTTAGAAAATTAATATTTATCTGCCCCTGGCTGCCTGTCATGCGGCCCTTGATGGCTTGCCAAAACTCAGTAAGTGTCCCCCTGCCCAAAATAATTGCCCGCCCCTGGTGTAGTCAGTTTCTCTGATGGCAATTTAATTTTAATTAGGATTCTTCAATTTATTAATTATTTGTGCACCTAATGCTAAGCAGACAGTAAAATCACACTTATTCAATTTTGAAGAGGATGGAGCAAAGACACTGCCAGTTTTTGTATAGAAAATTTCAAGACTTACTTTTGGCCATACTATCCAGCAAAAGGGGCAAAAAAGCAACAACTCCATTTCCTTTAAGACATTAGAAAATAAATTATGGCTCCCAGAAAAAAGACACTGTTCAGACATTTAAAAGCCGAGGCTGACAATAGCATGCGACTTGCAGATCTGTACAAGAGCACTACAGACTTTTCTTCACAAAATAAACTTAATTGGAAATAGATTACAATTAAAATGTCAAAGTTTTTAACTCAAACTACAATATTCGGGGAAACTGATAAAAGAGGACTAGTTTAATCTGAGACAGAGAAGTGTCAGAGTTTTAAAACACTGTACAGTTATTTAGAAATTCTGAAGTTCTTCCTTTGTTGTTTTCTCTATATAATTAATGGAATTCAAGAGAGACAACCAGTAGCACATTACTATAATTAGAGAAAGAAAAAAAATGAAATTGAACTCAAAATGTGTAGATATTGTTTCCTGAATCCTAGCTATTTCTGAAACATCAAATAAATAAATAAAAACAGATTTTACTAATTACATTTGAGAATGAATGATACAAACAATATGATATTGCTGATGTTATTTACTTTGATACTAAATGCACCATAAATCTCAATTTTGATGCATCCTTCAATTTTGTGCTGCCTCTGTATTTTCAGCATGCTGTAGACTATTGTAACAATATTACCTCCTGGGGCTTTTGTCAAGAGAAAACACCTCATGTAATTATGTGTGCATATCAGGGTTGAAAGGATAGGAAAGATGACCACCGTTTTGAAGCGAAACAATGGGTAACATGGCTTTATGCATGCAAAACACTGGCTTTGGTCAGAAAAGCAGTTCTTTAAAGAAGGAAACCTAGGAGCAGACTCCTGGTGACAGAGATTCAAAAGCACCATTTCCCCCAAAAGGCAGACTAAATGATTTGCTTGCTTCAGATCACAATTTCTGCACGCAAAAAGTGCAAACACATGAGTCACATATTTATCTGAAAGCACCAGAAATAGAGGATTACTATATATACTAGCTAAAGTACTGCCATATTCAAGTAACGCATTTTAATTTAGCCCTTTAGCTCTTGTTTAGCATTTTTTCTTTTATTCTTCTGCAAGTTGTTGAACTTACTTGCAGATAGAAGTGACACTGATTTATATGCATGGTAAAAAAACCAATACACAGGCCAACATTTCAAAACCTGAATGTCTAAAGTTAGACACATAAATGCCACAAAATCATTTATACTACACCACCATATTGTACATGATGTCTGCAGCAAGTTTCAACTGGTTAACTGCTAAGTGTTCTCTTAGGCATTTAGAAGAACAATTTGCCAAAATGTTATATGCCATATCATTTTGACCAGTAAGTTGTTGATTTCTGCCTGTATAAAAACTCATTTTATTAGAGGTTTTTCTTATATGAAGAAGAGTTCTACCTGTTCAAATGCAATTGAAGGCAATTTTACTTACCTTGAGCGCTAAAAGGCTCTTGTTAATTTCTGCACCTTCCAGTCGCGTTTGCCTATCTGCACTTGAAGTATCTGCTCCTCTTTCATTTCCAGCCAGGTCAATCAAAGAAAATTTACCATGTAGTTTGCCTTTCCTTCTGAGAATAATCTGAAATACTGCATGGCTCCGAGATGAATGTGCATTTGCAGAAGTCTGACCAGATGTTCTTTAATAATAAAGGGAGGTAGGAGGGGAAGAAGAATTTAAATATTATTTAGCACACATGAAGGACCATTCACATTAAGTATATTATTCTCAGGGGATAATAGATTCAGGACAGTGACCTGTATCTTCTTTTATGCATGGTTAGTGCCAGCATATTGCTAATTTTGAGTTCTGAAGTGCCCACAATGATCTATAAACTGTATAATATACATAAATTTCCCCATCTTTTTATACAGGAGAGAGAACAGTATTCAAATGTCATCTTCCACACAACCTCATAAACTACACATCACGTTTCATTTAAACTGCATCTTAGAAGCAATACTTTTACCTACTAAGAGACCAACCATTAATGCAAAAGACTATTTTTAAAAACAAAGTGTGGACTTTAACAAATTAAAATATTTATAGTATGGAAGCTGTGTCACATAATATAAATGTATACTGGCTTTAAAACTAAAGAATCTGGCAGTATTCCAGAAAATTAATAATGTGAAGTTAAAACAGTAAGCTGATTACATAAATACATACAACTCATACCCCACAAAAAAATCAGTTCTTGGTTCCTCGTGGCAGATGCATACAAGCTAAAACAAGAAGTAAGCAAAATTCCCACAACAGCCAATGTCCTCACGGAAAAAAACTGCACTCGAGTAGAAAGCTAAGGCTTTGAATAAACAAAGACACCCACTTGTAATAAAATTACAGTTTTCTAGAGCTTATTGTGAAGAATCAAATTAAAAACCGCATATACCTGCAGCTGTTGCCTATTTCAATAAGCTTTAAAACATCTTCAACACATTTGACCTCCCGTTCCTGCAATCCCACAACCTGGACTTGCTGTTTACCATCCTCCAACACTCTTAATTTGGTCTTTCTGTTCAACAAGTCAAAAACCTGGGAAGAAACATATACAGAGTTATAGCAAGGAATTTTTAGAAGATATTTATATATTCTAATTTTGTTTGAAAAACAGGCAGAAAATCCAACCAGACATGATTAGAAGACAGATGTTAAGTCCATATGAAATGAAATTTTAATATAGAGAAAATTCTGTTCTGTTTACAACCATTTATCTTTACAGAGTATATTCTCTCTCAAATCAAATACTTGCACTTACCTTACCACTGTAAATCTCAAAAAACGTTGCATATACTTGAAGTTCTAACTTCTTATAATTTGGTTTCTTTAGCATTAAAAAGACATCCCGAGCTGTGAATAAATTTTCAAATACAAAAATCCAGTTATGTGTTTTCATCTAGTGGAGACCCATTGAACACACAATTGTCTGTCTTATGTATTACAGCTATACTTGGTAGGACCAGAATCAGAGTCAATCAGGCTTTCATTATAAGCCCATCTTTTTTAAAAGTCAGCTTATCTACCATAATAATAATTTATTTTGCAGTGAAAACTAGAAAACTTTTCTGAAATACAGAATAGTCCATAAATCTGAAGCTCAACTCTGCAGTTATTTGTATTCTCAAGTACACATTTGTATTCTCATATTTGTATTTCTTAGATATATCACTATATGCTAAACTCAAACTTTACATGTTTAAAAGCTTTCTTTGATGCCAACGCCTCTCTATCATATTGTAATATATATGGGTACTTATATTCATTACAATGTATACCTCAGGAGTACAAAAATCTAGCATTTTCTACAATTTTACAGAAAAGTGCAGAGGACCACTTACTTACCAGCAAGTGCATAAATTCCTTTAGAACAATCTTGGTTCTTTCCTGAAAAGTCACCACCCATAGTCTAAGTAAAGAAAATAAAAATAAAAAGCAAAACCACAATTTGTATAAACTAATCTGATTAAAAGAATAATACTGTGATACTGTTATTAAGTTTAAAAGAAATGCTTACATGGGTTTTTCCGCTGCCAGTTTGTCCATATGCAAAACATGTGGCCATGCCCCTTTCAAATATGGTTTCCACTAATGGTCGAGCTGTAAACCTTAACAAAAAAATCCCCCCAAAAACCCAAAAAACAAGTTTTCATCATCTGTAGCCACATTAAAAGTTAGTAAGTTCAACAAATTCAGAATTGTAAATACAGTATTTTTTGCTCATCACAAGTTCATTTTCCTTCTAACCATTTTCTGAATCTCTGTTCTCAAAGTTGTTTTTAGAATTTTTTTCAGACAGAAAAAAACTATTTAAATCAAAGGAAACAGCTTTATTTAAGCATACTATAATTTCTGGAAAACTATTCAGTTCAAGATGCAACAAGAGAGACTTAGGTTTTCTGTCTTCAAACTAGTATTTGGACAGAAATTTTAGAAGGGAGAAGACTCTGTAAGCTCCTCAACCCACTAAGGACCTCTGCAACTCACTAGCAGGCATTTCTGAGACCAACAGACATACCATAATATATGACTATCTTTGTGTTTTGCAATCTCTTCTATAACAAATCAGACACAAGACCACAGCACTATTCCCATTATCAGAAGAAATTTAAGAATAGCTGTAGATGAAAATTAAACATTTACAGTGGAATTGACTTTCAGGAAAAGAAAAGTTACTATTAAGTGAGTATTAAAGATACAGATAGCCATCTGCCCTCAAATACAAGTACAAAGATTTTTTAGGAATAAGTTAAGGAAACAGAACTGTTCTGGAGATGCCCTATATGTTTTGGAGATGTCATGGAAATTCTGAAGTCATAGGGAAAAAAAACTGTTTTTTCCCCATGGGCGGGGAGGAAACGGGGAATGGAAATTTTGGGGAGAATTGAAATACATGCAATATTTATTTTCATATCTATCTACATTTACTTTACTATTGTACATACATAAAATATATTATGTATAACTTAATTAGCACATAAAATTGTAATGCTTGGTATATTTATGAAATTTAAAAGTATAAATGCCTTATTATTATTTGAATAAAAAACTAAGACATTTAAAATAATTATTTGTAATTATCGTTACAAATGGAGCTGCAAGTTGCTAAGGTACTTAAGCATATCTTAGTTTTTGCCAGTTCATGAGAACTAGGAAAAAATAAAAGTTGAAAATAGAAACCATCAGCATTGTAGTACAAAAGGAAGTCTTTATTATTAAAGACTTGAAAGGCAAGCCATATGAGGAAAAGCTGAGGGACTTGGGCCTCTTCAGCCTAAAAAAGATAAGGCTGAGAGAGGACTTGGTAGCAGCTTACATCAGGGGAATACACCAAGGACTTGGTGAACAACTGTTCACCAGGGCACCCTTGCGTAAAATCAGGAATAATGGCCTGTAAGACCATTTCAGGCTTAACACTAGGAAAAACTTCTTCACAGTCAGGGTGTCCAGACTGTGGAATAAGCTCCCTCCAGAGGTGCTGCAATCACCTATCCTGGAAATCTTCAAGAGGAGACAGGCAGTCACCACACTGGGGTCACCTGACCCCAGTTGTCTTTCTTGCTTAGTGCGGGGGGCTGGACCCAATGATCTTGGAAAGTCCCTTCCAATCTGAGAATCTATAAATTATCTGGATTTAAAAAGTCTCCTCCATAGGTCTCCTCCAAGTCAGCACTCTCCAGAAACAGAAGAAACTCATATTTTTTGAAAAAGTGCTCAGAAAAAAACATCCCTTTAAGGCTGGAGACAAAATTCAGCATGTGAAAAACTCATGTGTCATTTAAACAATCAAATATATTGCTGAAAATATCAGCATTGCAAGTTTCATTATCTAATCAGAGTCACGCAGTTTCTCAAAGATCAATATTTTCTGAATCTGAAACTTCATTTTTATCTCCATGAACTTTGGAAACCTGAAGGTTTGCATGGATTGAAACAAGCATCTCTACTCTTTCACATGTTAGTTTATTTCTGGATTTGGTGTGCGTATTTCCAAACAGATCAGTTTCTTTCACATGCTGCAGAAGATGGAGGAATCTGAAGCCATCGAAAAGCAAGTGGAGTCAGAGGCTGTGTTGTACAAAGGCCACCATGTTGCAGGAGGAATATGCTTGGTAGAGTCCCAGATTGCACTCCTGGACCAAATACCTGATCACATTCTGTATTCTGCAACATCTGAAAGTACCTTGCCAACATCAAGTCCTAAGTGTGTTGCTTGTTTTGTAATCCAGTCAAATGCAGTAGCAATGCTATTATCACTAACATTTCTACCTTTAAATCTTGGATCCCAAAGATTTGCAGCAGCATGAACTGGCTGGCAATAAAATTCCTCCCGCCTGTGAATGAAGTCGTTCATTTTTCCTTCTTCCATACTTTTAAGTGGAGATATACTTACATTGTCAAATACTGTCGATTATATCTGGGCCACTAGGTAAGCAATGTCTGACAAAAGACACTGTCTGATTCAAATGCTGCAGCTGGACCCAGAAGACATCCTCAAGTACAGTGTTCCTTACACTTCAGACTACTTTAAAATCTTCAGTCACTGTTTCTTGAAGAGCTTCTTTGTTTTTTAGTAAACTTTCAAATGGGATCTCCACTCCACCCCATCTAGTTTTACTACAAAATTTGAGCATCACCATTTTATTCTTCCCATTCTTTTCTTCCTGCTTCTTCTTAAAGATTGCAGCTACAATGCAAGTAGATTTTACATATTTTATCATTTCTACTGCTCTATTATAGATCTTTTGCAGTGGGTCCAACTTCATAAAATCATTAAGCAGCAAATTTAGGCCATAGGAAGCACACCCTATTGCAGTAATATGTGGACATTTGTTCATTATGATTTCCTGTGCTGCTTTCATATTACTTGCACTGCCAGTCAGCAAAGCAAATACTTTACCACTCCCAATCTTCTATAGGACTTCACATATTTTATTACTGATATACTCTGCAGTATGTCTGTTTTCTCCTGTTTCAATGCTTTTATAAAAAACTGGTTGAGGTGTTATTACAAAGTTTATGATTCCTTCTCCCCGTACATTTATCCAGCCATCAGTAAGTACTGCAAGACAGAGTGCTTCATTGATTTTTTCATGCACAGATTGCATTACTCTGACTCCAGGAGAGGCTTGCTCAAAGAATGTCTGCTGGGTGAATGGTACGATGGTCTTTATGATTTAAATGCTGCCTGGCAAGGTGCATTTTCAATGATTGATACTGGTGTCCCAGAAGCATACATTGCTCTTGCAAGAACTTGGTCATTTTTTTCTTGCTCTTCAGGTGTCATCTCGTCTAGAAATGAAGTTATTGGGAGTCTTTTGGATACAGCTAGTTGAGATATCTGTTTACCTGATGGTGTTGACTGGACAACACTTTGTAATGCTGATGTTACAGAAGAACCAGGAGGACTACCGGATCAAGAATGTTTCCAAGTGCTACTTCCACTGTTATCCTGATCTACCTTACTCACTGATGAAGGATATTTTTATGTCTGCAGGACACTTCATATATGCAAGGATATGTTTGGTCATCCTGGTAGCATTTGGAAATGCATATTTAATTTGATAGTATTTGCAAAACACAGGGGGGGGTTTCAGAATGACTTGTAGTTGTAGTGTTGAAATGCTTCCATATGTTAGAAGATGGTCGCACCATGTTGCTGAGGGAAAAAAAGAAGAAATACGTAATTTGGTAGTTCGTTACATATATAAATACAAAGTTAGAGCATATGAAAAATGTAGTAATTGATGGAGTTCCCCAGTAAGATCGCTGTAAACAACCCCTTCCCTCAGACCTCATCTCACTACTAAGTTAAGGGTAGAGGGTGATTTGCTCAGAAAGCATCAGATTGATACAAACTCCATTATGAATAACAAATTAAGAAAATATACTAACTGAAAATACAGTTTAACATACTGAACTCAAAATACATTGACACTCTTACCTTTCAGTAAATAAGAAGTCTGCTTTCTGCTGCTGTGTGTTGCTAGATGCAGTTTGTTAGGTACTTCTCTGGATCTCGGGGTCATGGGGTCCAGGAGGCGGCAGGTTCCATTCCACCACCAACATCTTTAGGTTTCTTTTTCCTCTGAGGCTTTGCTACCCACAATAGGACTTTAGCAGTAAGCTGTTTGTTTCCCTGTAGTAGGGAACTCCAGTGTCCACTCCCAGTCCTTTGAGGGGAGAGGTGACCAGGTTGAGGGGCCTAGTCAGGACTCAGGAGGAAAACAGATTACGCTACTTCAACCAAACTCTAGATCAAAGGTCAGAGGAAGGAAGGCTGCAGGCAGTGCAGAAATATACAAGCAAAGGTGGCCCTGGATCCTTCCTTCCTCTTACTGTGCAGATGGCAGCACCCTTTCAGGGAAGAAATGCATCTTGGATTTGAGAGCTGTGTCATGTCTACCATGTAAAGGAATTGTAATACTCTAATACTGTAGACTGTCTTGCATAAAAAATCTTCATACTATATAGTTATTAGAAATAATTTTAAGGGAGTAAAGGGAAGATATAATAAACAATATTTGAAAAAAACTTTTCTTAAAAAGAATTTCATTCACCACTCTAAAAGAAAATATTTCATAAGAGGTTTGTTTGGGTTTTTTTAAGTTTTTCCCAAAATTTCCAATTTTTCCATTGGAAAAAAAGCAGAAGTCCTTGGAAAAGAACAGGGAAGGAAAAAAAAAACAAAACAGTTTTCTAAATTTTTCAGTTTTTTTTCCCCAGGCCTTCACATCTCTAACACTGACCTCCTACAGAAAACAGGCCACAGGTCTCTTCGAATTAATCCCTGTACCAAATAGCCTACTGTTCCCCATTGTTAAACTTACAAAAACAAAAGATGCAACTCTCCACCTTCTCAACTGAGCATAAAATTCATCTTTAACTAGGGCCAGGGAAAAATTCTTGTAAAACTCTTGTAAACGAAACAGAAAGTATCATCATGCCACTTTATAAATCTATGGTGCATCCACACGTCCAACACTGTGCGCCCCACACCTCAAAAAGGATATAAAAGAACTAGAGAAGGGCAACAAGGATGATTAGTGATATGGAAGGGCTTCTATACAAGAAGAGACTGAAGAGGCTAGGCCTATTCAGTTTAGAA